TGTGTGCACCTGTGTGTGCATGTGTGTAACACCATCGGAGTCAAAATCTATGCTAAATGTTGGTGGGGTCCCTCTGCCCCATCAGATATAATCGATGTTGTGAGCCTGGTGCTGGGACACAGGGTCTTCCTTCTGTTGCTCAGGATGCTGACTCCCTCTGCCCCTGACGTCCCGCAGATACTTTATCCTGCTTGCTGGCCAGAAGGAACTTTCACTTCAGTGTGCTGTGCTGCATTGTGTTGTCCAAGACAAACTCTTTTATTGATTTTTGTACTTATTCAGAAGTGCTGATAATTAATGAACATTTGGGGACAGGACAAAGTGACTGGAAGCCACTCTCTGCCTTCTGTGCAGGTAAGAATATTTTCTCTGATGACCACAAACATATCTAACTGAGAGACTGCAGATTGAAACAGAGAATCGTGAATTCAGAGAAGTTCCCCAGTGGAAACCGTTTTATGCAGAGGAAGCCACGGCCCTAAGAGGAAATCAGCCCTTACCCTCCACCTGCACCTGCCCTGGGCTGACTCTGCTCCTTGTGCCCAGCCTGTCCCCTGGTGGCCCCACGCTCCCCCGCAGGAGGTTTGTGTCTGGGCTCACACTGATGTCCCCTCACTGTGTCTCTCGTACAGTAGTACACGGCCGTGTCCTCGGATCTCAGACTGTTCATTTGCAGAGACAGCATGTTCTTGCTGTTGTCTCTGGAGATGGTGAACCGGCCCTTCACGGCGTCTGCGTAGCTTGTGCTACCACCACTATTAATTCTTGAGACCCACTCCAGCCCCTTCCCTGGAGCCTGGCGGACCCAGTGCATGGCATAGCTGCTGAAGGTGAATCCGGAGGCTGCGCAGGAGAGTGTCAGGGACCCCCCAGGCTGGACCAGGCCTCCCCCAGACTCCACCAGCTGCACCTCACACCGGACACCTGCAAACACAGACACAGCCTGGTCAGAAACTGCCACACACACCCCTGTTTCTCTCACTCACATCCACTCTCACACCCAATGTCTCTAGTTCTCCATGAATTACCTTGTAACAGAGCAACAAGGAAAACCCATCTGAGCCCAGACTCCATGGTGAGTCTCTGTGTTCAGTCCTGATCACCGAATGGGGACACCTGGGAATGCCGGGGCTGAGGCTCCTCTCCCAGAGCTGCAGGGTGAGGGCTGGGCTGGTTTTCATGAGCAGAGGGAGGGCCCTATTTGCATGTCCCCTGCTATATAGCAAGCTCTGGG